CTTGCTTGTTCCGTGGTGCGTCCCTTGCCACGTCCCCTGACACGTCCCCTGGCGCATCCCCGAATGCGCCCCTGACACCTCCCGTGGCGCGTCCATGCGCCCAGCGCCCCGTGTCCCGTCCCGCTTCGGAGCTGTGTCAGATCTTGAGCTCGAGCTGATTGGGCGTCCCACGCGTTTCGATTGCAAAAATCTTTGGGCCAGCTATTCTCTTTCTCTCAGGCAGCTCGAACTTGAGCTCTAAGTTAGTTCGGTCAGGGTTCGCTTTCCAAGGGCGACTTGATCCACAACGCTATAGAGCACACCGAAATTCATCGACGCATGGCACATCTCATTTCAGCACGGCACAGCACATCACAATCTTTGAAAGAGCGCGTTCTGTGGTCGCTTGGAGGGGGGGGAGGGGTTGGAACCGGACCCCCCCCCTGGATGGAGGGGGGAGGGTTCGAACCCCCCCCCCTCCCGTGACGGAAGGGGAAGGGGGTTCGAACCCCCCCCCTGCCCCCTCTCGTGACGGGGGGGGGGTTCGAACCCCCCCCCCTCCTGCTTCCCCTCTCCTCAGGCCGGCGCTGCCTGCGCTTGGGTCGGCGGCGGCTGGCGACGGCGGCGGGGACGACGATTATACATATAACGGCGCACCTGGTCTGGGGGCCCGGGGCCGGGACCACGACCGCAAATGTGGGGACCGGGGGCTCTGGAGGCTCGTCGGGGCTTGCCGGCGGCCTCCCCGGTCAGACAAGACGGCCCCAGGAACGCCCAAGACGGCCCAAGAAACTTCCAAGAGGCCTCCAAGAGAGCTCCGAGATGCTGAAGATGGCCTCCAGACGTCCAAGGACGCCCCCAAGAGGCCCCAAGAAGCCTCCAACATGCGTCCCAAGAGGGCCCCTAGACGGGCCGTTCAAGAACCTCCATTCCAAGAGGCCTCCAAGACTCCGAGATGCTGAAGATGGCCTCCAGACGTCCAAGGACGCCCCCAAGAGGCCCCAAGAAGCCTCCAACATGCGTCCCAAGAGGGCCCCTAGACGCAAACATTGGCCCATTCCCTTCGTAAAACGTACATTTTCAACAAAGTTGTCTTTTGGGCTTTCCGACGTTACAGGACGGCCCAAGAGGCGCCCAAGACCGCCCCAAGACGGCCCAAGAAGCTTCCCAGAGGGCCCCAGGACAGCCCAAGAGGGCCCCAAGACGGCCCAAGAGGCGCCCAAGATGGCCCAAGAGGGCCCCAAGACGGGCCCAAGAGGGGGCCCAGAGGGGGACCACGAACCGCAAGCTCGAGCCTTCCGCCCCAAGAGGCCGCCAGGAGGCCCCCAGGAGGCCCCTCAAGAGGCCCCAGGAGACCCCAGACGTCCAAGGACGCCCCCAAGACGCCCCAAGAAGCCTCCAACATGCGTCCCAAGAGGGCCCCTAGACGCAAAAATTGACCCATTCCCTTCGTAAAACGTACATTTTCAACAAAGTCGCCTTTTGGGCTTTCCGACGTTACAGGACGGCCCAAGAGGCGCCCAAGACCGCCCCAAGACGGCCCAAGAAGCTTCCAAGAGGGCCCCAGGACAGCCCAAGAGGGCCCCAAGACGGCCCAAGAGGCGCCCAAGATGGCCCAAGAGGGCCCCAAGACGGGCCCAAGAGGGGGCCCAGAGGGGGACCACGAACCGCAAGCTCGAGCCTTCCGCCCCAAGAGGCCGCCAGGAGGCCCCCAGGAGGCCCCTCAAGAGGCCCCAGGAGACCCCAGACGTCCAAGGACGCCCCCACGACGCTTCGCGTCACCAATTTCTTCTCACAACGATTCCTGGATCTGTGACTCGACAGAACCTAAGCGCGCGCGAAGCGCGCGCGTGGTTCTAGTTCTATTTCTTGGCCCGCGCCGGCGCCGGCGGCGGCGGGCGGCGGTGGCGGGGAGCGTCGACGAGGACGACGGTGGTGGTGGTTGTGGTTGTGGTGGTGGTGGCGGTGGTGGTGGTGTGGTGGTGGTGGTGTGGTGGTTTAGTGTGGTGGTGGTTGTGGCAGTGGGTGGTGGTGGTGGTGGGTGGTGGTGGTGGTGGTGGTGGTGGTGGTGGTGGTGGTGGTGGTGTGTGTGGTGGTTTGGTGGTGGTGTGGTGTTGATTTTGTGGTGGCGGTGGTGGTGGGTTGTTGTGGTGGTGGTGGTTTGGTGGTAGTGTGGTGGTGGTTTGTGGTGGTGGTGGTGGTCGGTTGTGGTTGTGGCGGTGGTTTGTGGAGGTGGTGCTTGTGGTGGTGGTGGTGGTGGCGGTGGTGATGGTGGTGGTGGTGTGGTGGTTTGTGGTGGTGGTGGGTTGTGCTGCTGGTAGTGGTGGTGGTTGTGGCGGTGGTGGTGGTGGTGGTGGTGTGGTAGACTGTGGTGGTGGTGGTAGTGGTGATGATTTTGTGGTGGTGGTGAGTTGTGGTGGTGGTGGTGGTTGTGATGGTGTTGTGGTGGTTTGTGGGGGTGGTGGTGGTGGCGGGTTGTGGTGGTGGAGGTGATTTGTGGACGTTTGTTGTGGTGGTGGTGGTGGTGGCGGTGGTGGTGATGGTGTGGTGGTTTGTGGTGGTGGCGGTGGGTTGTGCTGCTGGTAGTGGTGGTGGTTGTGGCGGTGGTGGTGGTGGTGTGGTAATTAGGTTGTGGTGGTTAGTGGAGGTGGGTTTTTGTCGTGGTGGTTGGGGTGGTGGTGATGGTGAGTTGCGGTGGTGGTTCTGGTGGTGGTGGTGGCTGTGGTGGTGGTGGTGGTTGTGTGGTGCTGTTGGTGGTGGTGGTGGTGGGTTGAGGCGTTGGTGGTGGTGGTGGTAATGGTGGTGGTGGTGGTGGTAGTGGTGGTAATCGTCGCTGCGTCCCCGCCGTCGCCGGCGCCGGCGCCGGCGCTGCTGGCCGCCGCCAGCGCCGGCGCCGAGGGGGGGTTTGAACCCCCCCCATTCCTTGGGAGTGGGGGGGGATTTGAACCCCCCCCCTCCCCTGGGCTGCCTCTGGTCATCGTCGCTGCGTCCCCGCTGTGGGCGCTGCTGGCCGCCGCCAGCGCCGGCGCCGAGGGGGGGGGGGGTTGAACCCCCCCTTTTCCTGGGGAGTGGAGGGGGGGGTTTAAACACCCCCCTCCCCAAGGCTACCTCTGGTCATCGTCGCTGCGTCCCCGCTGTGGGCGCTGCTGGCGGCCGCCAGCGCCGGCGCTGGCGCCAAGGGGGGCGGGGGGGGGGTTCGGGAGGGGGGGGGGTTGGCCAGGAGTCCCCGTGGTTTTGATCGATGGCGCCGAGTGTTGTGGGGGGCCCCCGGTTTGAAACGCGCCGCCGAATGTTCCCAAGGCAAGCAACCGTGAAACGCGTTCTCTCCAATCTTTGGTACGGTACATCACCAGTGATATTGAATCGCTTCGCTCATTCCGCCGGCCCATACGGTCTCATGTCTGCCGTTTGCCCGAGGGCCTGGTGTCAATGCGGCGCTTTGGGGGTTCCTGGGGCCGCTTGGGGGACTCCTGGGGCGCTCGGGGGGGCATTTGGGGGGCCTCCTGGGGCCGCTTGGGGGACTCTTGGGGGCCTCCTGAGGGCCTCGTGGGGGCCTCTTGGGGCCTCTTAGGGGCCTCTTGGGGCCTCGTAGGGGCTTCTTAGGGCCGAGGGCGCGAAATTTTGTTTCGTGTTCCCTCTCTGGGGCCCCTTTGGGGGTGTTCTTGGGGCCCTCTTGGACCGTCTTGGAGGCTTCTTGGGCCGTCTTCGAGCCCTCTTGGGCCATCTTGGGGCCCTCTTGGGGGCCTCTTGGGCCCTCTTGGGGCGATCTTGGGGGCCTCTGGGGCCGTCTTGGGGCGTCGGGAACCGAAAAGGTGGAAGCTCCAAAATCTCTCAAAAACCTAAGGAAAAACAATGAATTTTGCCTCCGGGGGCCCTCTTGGGAGTGCTCTTGGAGGCCTCTTGGGGCGTCTGGGGGCTATCTTGGGCGTCTTGGAGCGATCTTGTGGCATGTCGGACCCCTCGTGTACCATCTTGGGGGCCTCTTGGGGGCCTCTTGGCCTTTCTTGGGGCTCTCGGGGACGTCTCGGAGCCCTGTTGGTGCGCTCATGGAGCGCTCCTGGAGCGCTCTGGGGGACTCCTCCCGGGACTCTCTCAGGACCTTGCCGGGGTACTTTTCGTCCGGGGACCCCCAGGGGCCGCCCCGCGCGCGCGAACTAGAGAATTCTTAACCAGTTACCGGAGATCTTAGCACGCCTCTGGCCCGTTGGGCCGGCGAATTTTCAGCATTACCGCGCACATCGCGCGGCGCGTCCCCTGGCACGTCCACTGGTACGTTCCGTGGCGCGTCCCTTGGCACGCCACTGTGCGGCGCGGCGCGGTGCAGAGCAGCACAACACAGCCCCATGCCAAAATACGATCACAACGCGTACCTTCAGCACTGCCATTGCTCATCGCCCATCGCCCAGTGTAATTCGCGAGGGGTCCTGACGCTCGGGCACGTTCCCTGGCGAGTCCCCTGGGCACGTCGCGCTGCGCATCCCCTGGCACGTTCCCAATCACATCTGCTGACACGTTCCGTGGCGCGTGTCGCGTCCCGTGGCGCCTCCCCCTGGCGCATCGCGCGGCGTGGCACGTCCAATGTCGTGTGGTGATTTGCGTGTCGTCAGAGATTGACAAGGCGGCCAAGAGGTGTGTGCGGCAGCGATGGCCAGGGATGATCGAGCTGGGTGGCATCACCGAGTTCGCCCCAGGATCTTTCGAGCAGGTCGTCCACGCAGCGTCGGAGGTCGCGCCTATTGCTGCGGTCGGCGGTGGGTCGCCCTGCATCGACGCCAACAGCCTCAACGCGGCGGGCAAGGGCATCACGGGGTCCAAGAGCGCCCTGTTCTTCGAGTTGCCGAAGGCCTTCGAGACGGTCCGCAAAGTGTTTGGTAGTCGGAGGTGCACGTGCTTCGTCGAGAATGTGGCTGGCATGCCAGCGGGTGACATCGGCATGGCCTCGGAGGTCCTCCAGGTCAAGACGTGCCGCATCGATGCGGTGGACGTCGAGCTGGTGCGTCGGCCTCGCTTGTACTGGCTGTCGTTGAGGTTGCACGCTCGCACGGGGGCGGGATTGACATGTTGGAGGGCGACCGCTACTTCAAGGTGAAGCTCCACGTGGACCCAGGCCTGTGCCCCGTCTGGGCAGAGGGCGGCGGGAGCCTGTTCGACCAGTCCCAGGCGCCGCCCACCCTCGCCAAGCTGTATAAACAAAGCCTCCTCCTTCGCCAGTCGCGGGGATAAAGACGGCTAGCCACCTTGCGATTGAGAGGTGGGAAGCTTCCAGTTTTCTAACGCAGGTGTGCAACTTTGGGGATGCGAGCCCGCTGTGGAACGCCTCCCGCGCGCAGTGGCGCATACCGTCCGCAGGTGAGCGTGAGACGCTGATGGGCTTCGACCGCGGCTGCACACGTGCTGCGGTCGAGGAGTCTGCACCGAGTTTGGAAACAGGGATCACCAGGTCATCTCTCACCGGTAACTCGTTATCCGTGCAGGTTGCGTCGTGCATCTTGGCGCAGCTGGTGGCTCAAGAAGGTCAGCGACCTGTACCCGACAGTGCACCTCGTCCCCGCACTGGCGTGGCCCCGGCTGCTTGGGCGCAGGGGCCGATCTTAGGGGGGGTCGACGTCAGCGATCCCGACTTGGAGCGCCACTTGGTCTTCAAGTGCTTGGGGACCGCCAGCAGAGGAGGAGCTGACGTGAGGCTGGACCTGCGGGCGCCGTTCTGGGCGCAGGCGTGGCCTTGCTCGGGGCTGCAGACCAGTCTATGGACGTGGTCCATCGGGCACGGCTTCCAGTGTAAAGAACCTGCGCGCATCAATGAGCTCGAGGTGGGCGCCGCCGTCAACGCCGTCAAATGGCGAGCGAGCGGCGTCGAAGTTCCGATGCCACTGCCTCAACTTGCTCGGCTCGCAGGTTGGCGTCAATGTCATGGCTAAGGGGCGGTTCCGCGCGAAGCGGCCCTGGGGCTAGATGCGCGGACGCGCCGCCTACCGGCTGGCATGCGGCGCGTGCCCAAACTGCACATACGTCGACACCGACATCAAACCAGTGGCTCGGCATCGCTCGGACGTGTGCATTTTTCCTTCGGCGGGGACCATCGAGGAGCATCCTTGATCATTTGGCGAAAAAACCACGCACGAAACCGAAAAAACACAGAGGGAATGGACGTCCGAGCGATGTCGAGGTGGACGTGCCCCGTCGCTGGTTCGACGCTGGGTGCCGCGGACACCTCCGCCAGCGTCAGGGCAGCTCGATTGAGGCGAGCCGTCGACGCGCGTCGGCGGAGGCGAGGGTGAAGCGCGTGCGGGGCCAGCGACAACGGGGCGCCGGACACGGCGCAGGCCGTTGCAATGATGGCGTAGTCGAGGCTGGAGGCCAATCTCATCCCGTCAGATCGACGAGCGAGTCTCCGCTTACATCGAGCACATGTGGCATTCCAGCGGCTCGCTGCCCGAAGCAAATAACACGATGGCCGCAGTGGTTTACTTTCTGCCGCGTCCTTCAGGCAGGCTAAAGCCGAGCTGGGAGCTCCAGAAGACTTGATTTAAGCTTGAACCCGACGTGCGTGCTATGCCTCTCCCGCCGCCCCCAGCATACGCCCTCGCTGTAGCGCAGTGCTGGTGGGGCCTTCCCCGCGTCGCAGCACTGCTGGCCACCAGATCTGCGACGTCCCCCCGCTCGGGCGAGCTGCTCGGCATGCGGAGAAGGGGCGTCCATGTTTTTCCTCGGCGGAGCATCGCTGTGTTTGCGTAGAAAACACAAAAACCAAAGAGACGGGCGCTCTGATATGGTGGTCTTGAGATCGCAAGTGGCTGTCAGTTTGATCCGCGACCACGTGATAACTCTTGATGTGGATGAGCCCGTGCTGGGCGTCGAAAGGGCACAGTCATTCCGCTTGTTTCGTCGCATCGTGACCGCGCTTGGATTAGAAAACAGACAGGTCACTTTGCATTCCTTCAGGCGCGGAGGAGCCACTCATGATTTTCTGGAGCATGGGAGTATGGAGCTGGTCGTGCTGCGAGGTCGATGGGCCTCCGCGCGCCCAGCCAAAACATATGTGCAGGGTGCTCTTGCCGCACTGGCTGAACTTGAACCGTCGGCCTTGCAGTTGGCCCACGCGCGCGCATTCGCCTCTCTTATCAAGTCCCCCGCGCCACCAGCCCCACTTCTGTCAGACAATCCTCACCTCGACTCCGTCTGCTTAGGAGGTAGGGCCTGCCCTAGGTCTACCCTAGGGCCCTGGGCAGGGCCTAGCCCAGGCTACCCTAGGGCCTTGGGTAGGGCCTACCCTGGGCTACCCTAGAGCCTTGGGTAGGGCCTAGGGTAGACTACCCCCCCTTGGGTAGGGCCTAGGGCTTTGGGTAGGGCCTAGAGCCTTGGGTAGGGCCTAGGGTAGGCTACCCCCTTCGGGTTCTATACCCCACGTGGAGCAAGCACGGGGGGGAACGCCGGTCGAGGACGAAGGGGCCCTCTGGAAGAGGCTCGGCCCCCGCAGGCCTGGTTTCCGCGCGGGGTGCCCTGCGGTGCTCGGCCCGCGGCCCTCCGGGGGCCTCGAAAAGGGCTGGCGAGGTCGGGCGGCTCCGGGCAGCCCGTGCTTTTCTCGGAGGGTTGGGCGAGGGCCGGCCTCTGCCTGTCGTGGCCTCGGAGGAGCGCGGGGTGGTGCCACCCTCTGTGGCTGCACTGTGGTTTCCCAAGTTTCGTGAACAGGGTCCTATGGCTGCGCCAGGAAGAACACGAGGTAAGGGGGAGTACACACACAAACACATTCACACACATCTGTACAGAATGTATATAGAACCTATATATGTTTCTATGTACATACGTGTACGTGTATATGTATGTATAGCAGCACTTATAGTTATGTGTATACGTATAATATTAAAAACATCACAGAGAATGCCTCGCCTTCGACGATCGAAGGTGTTATCATTCTTTCCTCAGTGGAAGGTCGGCAGAAGGTGGCGGAAGCAAAGCAAGGTTATCTTCGCCGGCAAAAGCCAGTGGAAGTAAAACATGCGCTTCCAAGAGATGACCGAGATTTGGGGGTTCAGGGTTTCGGGAACCCTCCATGTATACGCCCAGAGATGCGACGTCTTGATCTTTCAACGCGAGGTCCCTGGAAGTCCCGGCCTGTTCCCTGGGACCGGCTTTTCCTCCTGAGCCGTTTCTGACAGTCCCGTGGCCTGGTGAGGGCCCCGAGGCCGAAAATGACGAGCCACTTGCCGTCCTGCTCCGTCTTAGGGCGCGACAGCGCGCTTGGGCACGCAGTGTGGACGGTCGGCCCGCGCAGTGAGGACGAGCGACTTCCCCCGGGCTGCCCCTTGCATCCCTCCCCTCTGGCCCACCCTTGGCCGCTCTCGCTGGCCGCGCCCCGCTCCCAGACCCCCTCGAGTAATGAAAAAATCATGACGGGAGGTTTTTCCTAATTTTCGGCCTCCGGCGGCCCTCGCCGGGACTCGGGAGCGTCAAAAAACGACTCAGGATGCAAAGCCGGTCATGGGGAAAGGGTCGGGACCTCTGGGGGTCGACGTAACGAAAAAATCATTACGTCGGGGGTCTGGGCTCGCAGAGTCCCGGCGTGGCCTTCCGAGGCCCTTGGGCGTCGCGCAATGGAGGGGTCATAAATAGGGGGGTGGCGAGGGTGGTCCGAAAGGTACCCAAGCGGTACCTGAACGACCCCCCTGGGGCTCCAGAGGGGCCCGAAAGGGGCACGAAAGGGGACCGTTTCTGACCCCCCCGTTTGTGACCCCCCCCATCAAGCCACGCCCAAGGCCCGTGCATCCTCACCGCGCATCCTTCCTCCACGGGCCGACTGCGCCCCGCGCGCGCGGGAGAGCGGCGGCCGGCGGCCAGGCGGCTCCGACGGCTGCCTGTGCCTCTGGGACGCCGAGGCCGCCGCCCGGCGGCCCCGCCGGCGCGGCCCTGGAGGGGAGCCCTGTGGTCGGGGGCGACCCAGAGGGGGGTGATGACCAGGGGGGGGACATCACGGCGTGGGCCAAGATATGCCCTCAGGTTTCATGGCGCCCCTTCTCGCTCCAGTGCGTTCCGTGGCCCCCCCCTGGTCCGCGCACATGCCTCGGGCCACGATTTGCACGCCCCCCTCTTGGACGCCCCCCTCTTGGACGCCCCCGATATCCGACATGGACGGAAGCCCCGGGAGGGGATGCCGAGACCGCCCCCCCGGACTGCGGTCGGACCGAGGCGTGAGGTCGAGATCTGTTCGGGAAGGGTACTCTACATGTTGTTCGTGCCTGTTGGAGGTGCTTGTGCATCCTGGGGGGAGGTTGCCTCGAGTATTCTCTCCAGTGTGGGCCGGCGGAGGGTCGCAGGTTTCGGAGGCATGTTCTCCGGTCCCGGGTCCGGCCGTGCTCGGGGGGGCCTGCGGAGGCCAGCTGGGACTACCTGGGGGGCCTGTTGAGGCCAGCTGAGCTGAAGGGGCCCCAGGACACACAAACAAATACACACAAATGAAATGACGCCTCATGTTTTCTCATATTTTCTGGGTTTTTGTCTTCCCCACCAATTCCCATATTTTCCCATATTTTTTGGGGAATGGAGGATCAATTGTGCCTGTGTGTTTTTTCCCTCCGGATGAGCGACGCAAAACAACGGGCTCGTTTTCACCGACGTTCGCGCGCAAGCTGCCCGCGCAGGGTCGCGCGGCCAGCGCCTCCTTCTCCGACGAGGTGGGCCTCGCTGGAGGCCCGCGCGAGCCGCGGTGCAGGGTCGCCTCGTCGCCTCGGGTGGGGCCCCTCTCTCGTCGTCGCCCAGCTGGGGCTGCCAGGTGGGCGGTCTGTGCGCCACCCGCAGCCTCGCCGTGCGGAGTCGTGGCCCCGCCGCCTCACCCCCCATGCTCCTCTTGGCGGCCGCGTCGAGCCTGGGCCCCCTGCGGGGTGGCAGCCCGGAGCGGGGAACGCGCTTGCCGGAGCAGTGGTCCAAGATGTGGCTTCCCAGGCCGAGCGCCCTGGCCCGCCAGACGAATTCATGCTAATTAGTTCTCGCCCCTTCCCGGGGTCTGCCGTTTTCCTCCGGGCTCTTTCTCCTCCTCCTCCCCCCTCCTCGGTGTCCTCCTTTGCCGCTGGGCTTCGCTGGATGGTGAAAAAAGTGTGTTCCCAGACCGGGTGGGTGACCCTCACAGAGAGCGTGCACGTCCCAGTGGTTCCCCTTGGTGGCAATTTGGCTCGGATGCCACCTCCGCATATCTGCTGATACGAAACGCGTTGATTATGGTCGGAGTTGCGGTCCAAGCAAGTGCGCGTGTCTCAGCACATGTGCTCAGGCTGGCACCTACTCGACGCCTGTTGTGGTCAGAGCGGACCGGGTGCTTACTTGACACCGCCGGTGTCCTGAGCGAGACTGGCGCCTTTTGAACACCCGAGGCGCGGAGGTCCCGTGTGGCGCTAAGTTTCTAGAGCGAACCCAGCGCCCATTTGGCTTCGCCGGTGTCTGGGGCGAAAACCCGTGCCCACGTGGCACCAGGGCTCGGGGGTCCCAGTGGAGAGGAAGGGGGATGGAGGATGGGAGGACGAGGAGGTGGAGGAGGAGGAGGAGGAGGAGTAGGAGGAGGATTACCATGCTCGCTACAGGCAGGGCCTCAAGAAGTCCCATCCCAACCAGAAAAGCTTCCTCGTAAGTTGGACCCCTGGGGCTCTCTCGAGCCATGGCCCAAAACCTGGTGTCGTTGACACGCGTTCTCCACATGGACCCGCTCGGCCACGGACAGCGGCGCTGTGCCCACGGACTAGCTGCACCACGGCAGCTGACATCGGGCTTTGGCCATCCCAGGAACTTCAAGAATACGGCTCGTCGTAGGACAACCACTGGCTTCTGGCAGCCACACGTCGCAAGCTGCTCCAGTCTCCAACACTTCGCCGGTGACCGCCTCATCGGCAAACGTGGGCTCAGTCCGCCGGCCTTGCCAGGCCGCCCGAGGGCTGCTTCTGCCCGACGCCGCACGCGTGGCGAAGCACGCTGACCTTCTTTCTCGTGGCCCCTGCGACGGTGGGCCACGCCGCGCGGCCCCGCCCTTGGGGCGCGATGTGCGGCTGTGATCGAGCTCGTGCGGGTGACCCCGTCTCTCAGGAGGGAAAGAAGCACACAGACACAATCAATCTTCGATTTCCAGGGTAATATGGAAAAAATATGGGAAGTGGGGGGGAGACAAAAACCCAGAAAATATGGGAAAATATGGGGACTCCTTTTATTTGTGTGTATTTATTTGTGTGTCCCAGTTCCCCTTTAGTCTCGGGAGGGACTCGCGCGAGCTCGCACGGGCGACGCAGCCTCCTGGAAGCAGCCGCGCGGGAGGGGGGGCGGAGACAAGCGCCCTGCGGTGCCCCGCCGAGGCTCCGTCCGCCGGCGCCGTCCCTGCGGAGAAGCCGCTCTGGAAGATCCAGCGGGCGCACGGCGGCCACCGCACTTCCGTTCTTCCCCCTCTCTGTATGTTTCTTTTTTTCTCTCTCCGTGTCTCTCTCTCTCTCTCTCTCTTGTTGTCTTTCTCTCTCTCTCTGTTTTCTCTCCCTCTCTCGTTCTCTCTCCCTCTTTCTTTTTCTCTCTCTCTCTCTCTCTCCCTTTCTCTTTCTCTAGATTCCCAATCTCTCGTTCTATCGATATACATATATATACATGAAGGCATACATGTATACACACATCCATACATACACATACACGTATAACCGAT